AAAAAGACCAAAACGAGTAGATCATGATTATATAAGTCTTAAGCTAAAATATTTCACAAACGATGGCCAAAATGCAAAAAAAAAAAAGAAGACAAAAACAGTTTTCTCTAAAACTTGTCAAAAATTAGCCAAAAAAAATCTCAACCTAAACTTATAAAACAGCATTTCAAGATAATTTATATGAATAACTGGATCATTTAATCATGCTCTGATACCAATGTAATATAATTCGGAGCAAAAATAACGGATTGTGTACCTTAAATTCGCAGCGGATATTGTTGTTGTTATTGCTACCAAAAGAATCTGCCCCAAGTCTCCTTTGATTTCACTAGGAAATCAAGGTTAAAGTTCACAAACTAAATGTCTTTTAGTGTGATTATGTAATCTAGAAAGTCAGGATTGCTTTTCCTTCTTTTCTGATTTTTCCTTTTGTTTTCTACGTAATGTCTCTCGTGCTCTCTCTTTTAAAGCAAAAGACTTCCCTTTTTATTAGGAGAGGTTGAGCAGTTATCAGATAATTGTTTCCTCTCCTTTTGAAAAAAGATTTGAACAGTTATAAATGTTCCCCCTCTTTTTAAGGATAAGGTCGAACAGTTATAACTCAACTGTTCATCCTTTATTTAAAAAACCAGAAAGTCCTTTATTTACGGGTTGGGTAAGATTGGATGGGGTCAGTTCACATGGGCGACCCTCGATCCCAAAAACTTACATCTCCCACTTCGCACATGGTGGACAAGACCCAAGCCAATATTACATAAACTAGACACACAATTCATACGACAAATAGTTCATGCGACCTGCGAGCATCAAGGCTTGCCTTCAAGGTTTTATAAGCCCTATATAGGAGTTCAATCACGTATGGGAAGAATTCACTTTTAATACGAGGATATCAGTACTCACATTACCCCAAACTTCACTACTTCAGTAGTTACTCATTCGATCCCTCATCCTCTTTAAGAGTTGAACTCGAGTTCAAGTTTAACTTTATATACACAACTACACTCGACATCTATATGGTCAGTGTAATAGCCGGCTTGTGTACACAAGTCAGATTATTTTAATTTAATCGTCTTCCTTTTCTACTCGAATCTATTTGTTCCAAATCAACTACTTTCCTAGACATGCACTGCACAGCCAAATCATTCATGGCTATTAGTGACATGCTAAAGTAGCAATATTAATTGAAATTTCAAGAAACAGTAAAAGGTCAAAGGGTATTCCAATGAAAAGTTAATTTTAGCTTTTCAGGGTCTCACACAATGAAGAAGCAGAGAACCATTCTTTCATTAACCCATTGGTCGCTTAACACACGTGGTATGAAACAGGTGCTATAATGTTCTCACCTTATCCTGGTGCATGTGTCTCATTTCTTTTAATTATCCAACATCGTACAGACCTTGGTCTAGATACCTTTTGATGTCTAACCCGAGTTTCTCTTTTCTGTGATCCTCAAACTCATTTTCTTAGAGAGACTCTTGTCTGGTTTATAAAACAAGTCATAGCATGACAGTGAAAATTATCTCTTCACGTTCTCTGACATAAGAGGCGATTGCTCGTGTGAGAGAGCCAATCTCGCAAGTTGTCCGTTACATTTTATTTCTAAAACATTATCACATGCATATGAGACATAAATTCAATAGTCTTATCTAGTCTTACTTTGATGAGAATATCATAACAACAAAGTTGTTTTACAATACATAAATATCACCATTTCCTACGCAAACCTAGAGCCTTAACATGTTTTTTTCAAACAGGTCTCTAGATATGTCCTTTGTAAAAGGATTTGTTATCATTTTGCGAGTAGGAATGTATTATAAATTCACTTCTCCACTTGCTACTATATCTCTCACAAAGTTATATTTGATATCAATGTGTTTGGTTTTACTATCATACTTAGGATGCTTTGTATATGCGATGGCCGCCTGACTGTCGCAATATAAAGTCATGGGACCCTTAGAATTCTTTGCAACATTCAAATGCTCAAAGAATCTCTTTAACCAAACAACTTTTTGTACACTAGATGCACAAACAACAAATTAAGATTCCATGGTTGAAAGAGTTGTTCAAGTTTGTTTCTTACTTTTCCATGAAATAGCACCACCATTAAGTAAGAAAGCATAACCGGAGGTTGATTTTCTATCATTCCGGTCACCAGTCCAATCAGCATCTGTGTAAACTCTCAAGAGTAAATTAGATCCACTGTAGCATAGTGAATAACCTACAGTTCCCTTCGGATATCGGAATATTTTCTTCACTGCCTTCCAATGATCTCTTCCGAGATTAGATTGATACCTGCTTACCATACCTACGGCATAACAAATGTCTGGACGAGTACACATCATAGCGTACATTAGACTCCCGATAGCACTAGAATATGGAACCCAAGACACGTCTTCCTTTTCTTTTTTAGTCTTTGAACACATTCAAGGCTTAAAGTTTCACCTCTTGCTATTGGGGTATCCATAGGCTTGCAACTATTCATTCGAAAGCGTTCCAAAATTTTCTTTATGTATGTTTCTTGAGAAAGACTCAAAAACTTTTTTTTGAAACGATCTCTTTGAATTTTAACACCCAATTATAGTCTGCTTCACCTATATCTTTCATGTCAAATGATTTTGAAAGCCATGACTTAACAGTTTTTACATACTCCAAATTATTTCCGGCTAATAAAATATCATCCACGTAAAGAGAAAGAATTACAAAACTTTTCATTGGACTTTTTCACATAAATGCAATGGTCTTCATCGATCATGGTGAAATCAAATGAAATCACCTCCTTATGAAATCTCGGTACCACTGCCTTGAAGATTGCTTTAGGCTGTAAATTGATTTTTTTTCAATTTATAAACTTTCTTTTCTTGGCCTTTAACAACGAAACCTACAGGTTGTTCCATGTAGATTTCCTCGTTTAGTTCTCCATTGAGAAAAGCGATCTTCACATCCATTTGGTATAATTCTAGATCTAAACGTGCAACAATAGCCAAAAGTAATCGTATAGAGGTAAACTTCACAACTGGCGAAAAAATTTTCTCATAATCTATTCCAGCTTCTTGAGTAAAACCTTTTGCCACCAATCGTGCTTTGTGTCTTTCTATTGACCCATCCGATTTGCGTTTAACTTTGAGAATCCATTTATTCCCAATAGCTCTACGTCCTTGAGGAAGGTCAACTAGATCCCAGACTTTGTTGGTTTGCATGGACTCTAATTCTTCTTTCATCTCTTTTAACCATTCATCCTTTTTAGGGCTCAATAAAGCCTCGGTCACAAAATTAGGTTCATCCAATTCTGTCGGAGATACCAAGAAAACATAATCCTCAATCTCATAAGATCGTTTAGGTACACCTTTTCTTGTACTCTTACATAATTGAAGTTCAGATTCCTCTATAGGATTTTGGGATTCAAAACTCCCACTTGGACCAGTAACCATTTCTTGATCCATTGATCTATCAAGTATGTCTAACGACATTATCTGATCTTCTGAATTCATCATTTCGTAGAGAGGCTCACCTTCATTTATTTCACCCTTTTTGGGAAAATCATTTTCTAAAAATATGACATCTCGTGATACAATTTCAGTAATACTTCCATCCTTCAATTCATCAATGAACACATACCCTTTGGAGCGTTCTGAGTATCTAATAAAGATCTAATAAAGATCTTTTGGACTTAGTTTACCAAACTATCCAAAACGATCTTTAATATATGTAGCACAAACCCAAGGTCGTAGATCATTCAGGTTTGTTTTATGACTAGTCCAAAGTTCATAAGGAGTGAAAGATACTGGTTTAGAAGGCACTTTATTCAAAATGTAGGCCGTAGTCAATAATGCATCTACCCAGAAAGAGATAGATAAATATGCCTGCGCCATCATTGATTTTGTCATGTCCAATAATGTACTATTCCTTCTTTCAGCTACACCATTTTTGTTGAGGTGTATAAGGAGTAGTTAACTGTCTGATAATGCCATAATTCTTCAAATTGTTTTGACAAATATTCACGTCCTCGGTCGGTTCTTAAAACCTTTATACTTTTATCGAATTGATTTTCAACTTAATTCATATATCTTTTAAAGCACTCAAGTGCTTCAGATTTATGAAAAATCAAATAGACATAACCAAAGCGCGTGAAATCATCAATAAATGTAATAAAGTATGCAGCACCAGATTTTGCCCTCACATTCATTGGACCAAAAATATCAGATTGGATTACTTGAAGTGGGAATTCAGCTCTTTTAGCCTTCCCAAATGGTTTACGCGTAATCTTCCAGTAAGATAATTTTCACAAGTTGGCATATCAATTTTGGAGAAAGAACCTAAATGCCCTTCCTTTGCCACCCTATTCATAATTATATAAGTCTTAGGCCAAAATATTTAACAAGCGATGGCCAAAACGCATTAGCCAACAAAAATAAATCTCAACCTAAACTTATAAAACAACGATTTCAAGACAATTTACATGAATAACTGGATCATTCAACCTGTATCTGATACCAGTGTAATATAATTCGGAGCAAAAACAACGGATTGTGTACCTTAAATTCGCAGCGGATATTGTTGTTGTTGTTACCAAAAGAATCTGCCCCAAGTCTCCTTTGATTTCACTAGGAAATCAAGGTTAAAGTTAACAAACTAAATATCTTTTAGTGTGATGATATAATCAAGAAAGTCAGGATTGCTTTTCCTTCTTTTCTGGTTTTTCCTTTTATTTTCTACGTAATGTCACTCGTGCTCTCTCTTTTGAAGCAGAAGACTTCCCTTGTTGTTAGGACAGCTTGAGCAGTTATCAGTTCCCTCTCCTTTTCAAAAAGGATTTGAACAGTTATAACTGTTTCGCTCCTTTTAAGGATAAGGTTGAATAATTATAACACAACTTTTCATCCTTTATTTAAAAAACGAGATAATCCTTTATTTACGGGCCGGGCATGACATGGGGTCGGTTCACATGGGCGACTCACGATCCCAAAAACTTACAAAATCAATGTCATATAAAATTATAGTGTCAAGAGATTTTTTCTTGGGCTTTCATGAACTATTGAAACATCTTCTTAGACACTCAATTAGTTCATAACTAATTCATTTTGCTATTAACAAAGCTCAATTAGGACAAAAGTTTACACCAAGATTTTGTTTGACAAGGAAAAGAACAAAGTAGAAAGAAATAGAAAAGATAACTCTTTGTGCAGCGTGGGATTTGCTTATGAGAATCGGAGCTCCGAAGTGTGAGCAAAGCCGTTGAATGACAACCGTTCCAATTCCGACGCGCCAAATTTACTAATCTTGCAGCTTCTCCCTTACGCGCCTTACTTTCCAAATCTGTAATCTCCAATCAAGAATATCACCTTTTTCTCTAAACAAATTTCCAATTTTTGTGTATTCAATAGATTTACATATCCACGAGTACCAAGAATTACTAAAGCACTGTAAAGTAGGGATCTTGATTCGGGTTTCAACGTTGTTCGCTACTGATTCAGGTACAAATTATGTTTCCTTTTTATTTTTATTTCTTCCCATTGTATAAGAAATGGGTCCAAATGACGTTTTTTTACTCCTTTTTCTGCTAATTATAGTAAAAGATTGAATTTTTTGTCTCTTTCTTACCACCCTTTTAGTTTCTGTTCATGGGTGTGGTTAATAATTTTAAATATATTTTTATGTGCTTCACCATAATACTAATCGTTGTATTTGTCCTCATATCGAAATGAGTCCTTTTTGCTCTTTTTGTTGGACTATTGTAGTATGATTGAAATTTGTGTCGTTTCTTGGCACCCTTTTAGCTTTCTTTTCATGTGTGTGGTTAATAAATCAATAGTCACATGTTACCCCATAATTCCAATCATTGTTTTCTTAAATGGCTGGTTCTTTTCCTAATATTGAGATAATGCCATATTTAGACACTTTTGCAAAAAAAATTAAAGCTACCAGAAATGTTACAGCTTTTGGTATCTAGTTTTGATTTTGACATTACATGTTCTTGATTGATTTTCAATGATTAGAACTTGCCTCTAGCATTGCGCAGAAAAAGTTAGTCCTTTGGTTGCAAGGAACCTATGATGATGTCAAGGAGGCCTATCAACCCATCTCGACGTGTAGCAGATGGCGGAGCAGCTTCATTAGAAGCCTCAATTCGCTCAAAGACAGGATCTCCCCCATATTTAACAATTGGACTTGTTATTGTGGTACTTGTTCTCAGCTTCTGATACTAATGGTTATTAACTTCTATCATTCTGAATGGCAGTTGATAGCCTTTGGAAAATAAACTAGACTCAAATTTTCATTTTAACAATTGTAACTCTATTTTTCCTTTTGGATATTTCAGGGAGCATTCCTTCTCATAGGGTACTTTTACCGTGACACAGGTTTGTACCCAGAACCTTGGCATTTCATGAAATTAAATTCATATTTGAATTTATTGTAAAAAGGCCAAAAAGAAAGAGAAAGAGAAAAGATATTTAAGCTGATTGTTCAGTACTGGAGGTCTGTGATGAAACTTGACTCCGAGATTCTCTATGAATTGCTTGTACTTGTTGTCATCAAAAGTTACTTTTCTCAAGAGGTGAAAAGTTGGGTATCATATGCTTGTTCTGAAAACTAGGTGCATTACAGGTACATCCTTTATCTCACTTGGAGGTCTCCCTACAATTTATTTCTTTAGAGAAAGCTGTATAACTATTAAAAAGAGCAGACAATACAAGTACTCTGCATGATCAGTCTCACCTTCTCAAGGAAAGAAGATGGTTGAAACATAGTTTCATGGCATCAACATATGCACAAGAAGATGTGTAGAAGGCATATGAATCATCTTTGACATATTTCGTAATATTATTTTCAAACAAAGTAGTGGTCCTTTTCTTTTCTTTAAACAAAATGTTGGTCTTACCTCATCTTTTGATGAATGTTTTTCTAAATAAAAATATCAATGTTAAATGAGTCTCTGCTGTCAGTAATGGTCATGCAGGTAACTTAATAAGCGTTCCTTATCTCAGCTTGAACGTTTTCTTCTGCCTCTACATATTGTTCTTTACTTTGCTCTGATGCTTATTGAAGGATTATCATTGCTTATAGGTACTTTTGGCAGTATTAAAGGCATCAGTAGAGTGGAAGGTAATTTCTCATGCATTATTCTGAAGGATTTGAGTTTATGGCATATTTCTCTTTCAAATGACACATGAATTATGTTATATACAAAAGTGCAGAGACATTTCTATTACTTGTTTAGAAAGTGGCTCTAATTATATACCCATGATCACCTCATGTATGCATCCAAAAATTTAAGTTTGGTACTTACTGATAGCCAAGTCCCCTGTCGCTTTTGGGCTCTTGCCGGAGCTTTACTTGAATGATAATTTTGAATATTTACGATAAGAAGACTCGGACAAGCATGTTATGCATTTCTTGCTTCTACTTTTAGCTCATTCAGAGTATAGTAGGAAGTAGGAACCATCTAACTGTAACTTCAAAAATAATGCCTTTGTGCATGACATACAGCAGGATTATTGTCATGTGAATTGTTATTACGCAGTCAGTCTATATAGCTGCTTCAATAAACTAATATCAAGCATGTCGGGGTTCCCGTTCACTTATTGATTCTCTGAATAATTCAACAGTCTGGTGAGCAACTGTGGTTTTGATGGGCAAACTTCTTTTTCCCCCCACTTCGTACATCACTTGACTCAAGGGCGTAGAATAGGTAACAAGATTGGTAATTCACTATCGTTTATCATTCTAGGTGGGTGGAGTGACGGTGCATTATGCCTATCAAGAATCTCTATATGGTCTATATGCAGAGCTACTGACTTCCAATCTTTCTTACTAGAAGATGTGATTGCGTTAGTTTAATTTGGGTAATAGTGCCTTGGTTTCTTTGACTTGATATTTCTGAAGAGAAAGTTACTGCTGTTTGTACATTACAGCCAAGTTTTTGAACCAGTTTTACCTGTGCAGGGGATTTTTCATGTACTGTAGAGGTTCAAAAGACCATTCCTTTTCTGAAGAAAGCATATGGAGATAGCATGCATAAGGTGCTGCATGTTGGCCCTGATACTTGCTCGGTAGTTGCTAGATTATTAGAAGAGGAGGATACTCAAGCTTGGGGTATAGAACCATATGATATAGAGGATGCAGGTCATTTCTGCAAGAAACTCGTGCATAAGGGCATCGTTCGCGTGGCTGATATAAAATTTCCTCTTCCATATCGCGCAAAATCATTTTCACTTGTGATTGTCTCAGATGCATTGGATTACTTGTCTCCAAGGTATCTCAATAGGACCCTTCCCGAATTGGCCAGGGTATCATCTGATGGACTTGTTGTTTTCACAGGTAAGAGTTTGTATCAGCTGTTATAAATGGACAATCTAAAATGGAAGAATATTTTGCATTCGTTGTACTGTCTGAGCTAAGCAGCTTCCTACCCTTCACTTCCTGTCGATCTCTTTTTAGTCTTGCCTTTTCGGGGTACAGTAATATGAGTGGGAATATTTATCTAAATCCGAGAAAGATCGGTCTTTTAATTCGGGAACTTATTCTTTTATTTGAGTACATGGTCACACTATCCCACTCTCTTTGGTAGAAAGCTATTTAGAAATTTAACTATTTGTGCCATCTCAAAAAAAAAAAAAATTTAACTATTTGTTGTCTTACTTTGGTTTCTTTCCATACTGATGTTGAATAGGTTTCTATCCCCCTTTTAAACTAGGTCCAATAATGTCCTATGCAGTCTCTCATGGGAAGTAGGCCAAGTTGACTAGGAGAGGTTTTTAATTAACGTAACCATTCTTGCAAAAGGAGTAAAGAGCATTAATAGTGATGGAATTACAAGGACACTACGGCTAAATATACCTGTAATAAGAAACCGCTTGAAATCAATATAGTTAATGCTGAATAGCTGAATATCTGTAGGATTTCAAAGCAGGGATATGAAATTGATTAAGGACGACTGTTGGATTCCACACACACGCAAAGAAGAGGACATTTGTGTCTAAACGTGTAAAGAAACTTTTTAGATTGGCATTTGCTAATTATTGTTTCCTCAAATGAATATAACAGGCATGAAAGTTAGGAGATACGACAAATGGTAGAATATCGGGTGACCAGGGTCAGTGTATAACTAAAGAGATAACCAGTGTATAGTGGAAGAATACAGCAGAAACAACATGCCTTTTTCCTTTCCTTTCTTTCTAGTAAAAAGAACAAATTCATTCCTGAATTATGTAAGAATTCGTCACTACTATTAAAGAAAATAGAACTCATTATGTCTCTATTCCCGTTTAGCAGTGATAATATATTGTGTGTAACATTCTTAAAGAATGATATGGTGATAGTAGGATCAGGTTTGATGACAGCTCCATATCTCTCTGCATTGCATGAATAGTTCGATATTGGTTGCAAATCAATGCAATGTGGCATATTTTCAATTATGCTAGCGTGCTTTTTGTTGTTGTATGACTTTTGGTCAGTTGACCTCTACGGAGTAATATTCATTTTGATGCAGTGGAGACTCTGATTACCTAATTGCTTTCTTAGAGCTGTTAACTCCTTAAGTTTTCTCCTTTTAACCATATCATTCTATGCATAAGCTTTCTAAGAAGTTATAAATGCCTTTGCATACTTACGTCCTTTATTCCACATCATTTGATAATTGCAGGTTATCCACGACATCATAAAGCTAAGGTTGCAGATAAGTCCAGATTCGGGGGGCTGGTAAGTGACATGCTCCTGCATCGTATACATATATCTTTTGTTACAGTGTCCACATTATTTATGTATCTCATAAATTTGTGGTGCGGAGCAAATGTGTTGGAATTAGGAGCCTTTGACCGTTTTATTTACATCTTAGGGATTGGGGTGGGGGTAAAAAGAAAATTCATATTAGCTTCTGATTTGAAAAGATTAATCCCTTCTTGCTCTCTAACTTTGAGTTGATCTAAACTCTTGATAGTGCCGTGAGAAAATTTGAGTGCACCTTAGAGGTGGTGTAGCAATTGGTCACCCTGAATTTGGTGAAGGATGGTAGTTTGGGTTATCCAATTTTAACTTTTAGGTGGTTACGTTGTACTAAAGAAGAATGACAACTGTGGGTAATTACTTCTACAATGTAATTCGAACTCGCACTTATCCGTAGAAATCAATCACCATTCACCAAAACTGAGATGGAGTAAAAGCCTGCGGATCGATTATGCTGAAAACTATGATTGAACATCGTGCCATAGACTACATCAGGGATAAAACTAAAGATGGTACTTGGTAACTTCTTTCGAGAGGGAAGATGAGTCTCTTGTGACAAGAGCACTCACTTTGTATAATTGATATCGGATTGAAAGGACGACAAGGTACCACTTGAATAATTAATACAGAAAGTTAGAAAGATACAATGTTCTAGACTTCATTTTAGTTTCATCTCAAAACTCTTGTTTTCAGAATATTGATGTTACTTTTTCCTTTATAATGATGAGCTCAGAAAGCTCTGTTGCTGTAAAAGTTTTGTTTCATGCTTTTAAAATCTAGCACCAGACACCAAACAACAAAATGAAAAACATGACATTCCTCATTAGAAGTGAGAAAGACAAAACAAACACAAATGACATAATTATACCACAGTAATATTAATGCGTGTGATGAGCATAAATCACTTAAACAATGACACAAACAACATGTTACTCAAACCAATCATTCATATCATTGATCATCATTCATGCAGTGCATGTCACTATATGTCAAAAGTCATTTTTTTTCCATATAAAAAAGAAAGATCGTTTGTGCATATGTTTGTCGCACAGACTTCATGCTGCAAAGGTACTACCCCGACAAAATCAGCAGCCGGAAGTTGTAAAGTGAAATATCTTAGTGAAATGCCTGCTCCTGATAATTTCTTTTACTGTCTCTTTTTTTCCTTATAAAGAATTGATAGTATATTGACTTAAGAGTACTCACTAACTTTGGAACCTGATGCCAACTTCCACCTTTGCTTTATGTTCTTCCCGAAGGCCAAATTGAGGAGCTCAACTTGGTGGGTCCGGTATTTTGTTCAAACAAGTTTAGAGGAAAATGAAGTTGCCATTAAGAAGTTTGAGCTAGCTGCTTTGAAGAAATCATATGTTCCTAGCTGCCAGATTTTTCACCTGAGATCTTACCGTTGATTTCATTATACGTAGTCGGTCATACACAAAAATTAAGAACCGTGCATAGCTTGTGAATGCGGTAAGACATGTTATAACAACTTCAGCTCTTGTTGGTAAGTTGTTTCAGAGTAGCGCGCGTCTCCTAGAAAATGTTGAGTATGCCATCTTTCTTAGTGTATTCTCATAAAATGTGTATGGGGTTTCAGCAGCTTGTTACAGATTAATTGCAAATGGGAGATTGCTGTTTCAGGGGAGACTATTGTCAAGTAATGATATGTACATCATCTATATTCCTCTCTCTTGATCTCTCAGTTTATTTGTTTATTTATTTATTGGGGTTTTTCGCTAGTCGAAATGTGGGCTCATAGTACACATACACTAAACTTTTTGTTGCCTTTATTTATGATGCAATATAGTTTCACCTACTCATGTAGAAAATCATGATATGAAGGTCAAAATAATTTCTGTATCTCTAAATTACTTGAATTGGACACGCCATTGGATCAGTAGAATTCTGAATAAATTGAATTTGATTAGAGTATCAATACATAATCAAAGAAATGCTGATTTTTTCCTGGACTACTGTAATAAATGTGAGACCTAAAAAGAAATATGTGAAACCTATTATACTGATCAGTAGGTGTTTGAAACTTTAAATGACATGGTAGCAGACTTGCAGTCATTTTTCTCTGTGCAGAACTATACTAGAATCATCATGTTATAAATCCTGCAAATGGTTTCATCCACTTGCAACGATGGATGTCTTCCATAACAGGTTTTGGATTGATTATGTATCCATAGCAGGTTTTAGATTGGTTATGTATCCATAACATGTTTTAGATTGGTTATGTATCCATAACAGGTTTTGGATTGTTTTGTAACAACGAAATGTTTCTATAAATAGGTTCACTGATGAATCCATAGCAGGTTTTAGATTGGTTATGTATCCATAACATGTTTTAGATTGGTTATGTATCCATAACAGGTTTTGGATTGTTTTGTAACAACGAAATGTTTCTATAAATAGGTTCACTGATGAACTTATTCTATACTCTAAAACGAAGAAATAAATCCTCTCTTCTAATGTTGTCATTCTCTTCTATTATTAGTCCTAGTTAATTACATAGTTCTTGCTATATTGATTTTATTTTATAACACGTTATCAGCACGAGGCTCTAATCCTTTCCATTACCATTTTAAGGTTTATTTTCATATATCCTCCAGGTATGTCTTAATACATGTTACATATTTTATATTAATTCAAGTTCTTATAGTAGTTGTTATGTCGTCACAGAAAAGAAATTAATAGACATAAAATAATTATATAGTAATTCATTATTCACATGTATATCAGAAAGCATTTGGTTAGAGATATTGTAAAAATTTGCCATGATTTTTAATTGGTAGAAATACTCGTTAACTCCTCTTAATTGAAGATGACCTTAGTAATTTTATTTAACCAATTTTTGTTAGATTTATATTCAGATATAATACTTTTTTTAACAGGATATATTTATGTGTAATTGAAATGACTTGATCAAGTGTTTTGGTTCATTCAATAAGTACTGGACATGCATATGTTTCTCACTTGTCATGGAAATTTAACTTGCTACTAATATATTGTGAAAACACTTAGAGTTCTCCAGTAAAATTTTGTTTATGTGTTCTATAATATTTGTCAGATACCATCATAATTTATTACAAGTTATTTTCTGCAAATTTAAAGCCTATAAATACACTAATAATTCTGAAGATGGCACTCTCATTTAAAGAAGAGAATTTTAAGATTCATTTTATTTGGAAGATGAGAGGATAAATAGTAGCTGGCAGATGTGAATGCTTAGTTATACGATTTATTTGTCAACGAATCATAATGATCTCTTAACCAAGTTCTACATGGTTGTTACTACTTTGCTGATGGTTTACCAGTACCTAAAATTTATCAACCAATAGTTAATTATTCGTATTAGAAGATATACTTGAACTATATTCAGTTTCATGATATACATGACTAGCATAAGTGATTATATTCTTATAACCAATTTTGTTTTTGCTTATGACCACAAGAGTGATAATTGATATTTTTATAAATGGTCGGGGGTAAGTCCCACGACACTATGAGAATACTGCATCAAGTTCATGTGCACCGTAATAATAAGAGGGTTCGAGTCCGGATGATTAAGGCATAATATGCATTTATGAAGGTAAGACATAGGTTCCCAATGCATCATATTGATGATGATTTTGAAAAATACAATATAATTATCGTGGCCATATGAATTGGCGTGGTCGTGGCAAAAAATGAAATAATAATCGTCATCATGGTAGTAATTATAAAAAGGAGAACAATAAGGGTTCTCAATATATCCTTCAAAAGGTAAAGGCAATGTCTACCATCAAATTGGTATGGAAAATAATAAATCACGACGCAATGATTATACTCCATTCCTTGAAGAGAATGTGACTTATGATAAACATTTAGAATGCAGACTCATTCCTGAAGGTGAATATAACAATATGTGTGTAATGAACAAAGACGTGTTGGATATATACCACAACTCACGTTTAAGGGAGGTTTAAGAGGAAGAAAAATAATGAATATTACTGTGTGGTTACATGAATATGTCATTGGTCGCGTACATGTGGTACGTCAAAAATATATATTGACGTGACTTATAAAAGGTTATTAAAGGCAAAATTCAAGAAATAATTTTGCTTATGATGACTTTGACCATGACACTATATTATAATATAACTTTCTTTGTGAAAGAGACATTCACCATATGAATGGTGTGACAAAAGATCTTGTAGTACAAAATTAATTAAGAGCTCCGGAGGAACTAATCTATTATTACCCGGATGAATAAAATTATTCATGACATTGATATTATAGTAAGTCTCAAAAAAAACTTTTTGAGTTTCAAATGTATAAGCCAAAGTGGTTGGCATATTGAGACTATAAATGAAAGGAAGGTTGAATATATTCATATTACTATAATCATACCGGGTAAATATAAAAGGTTATCCGACTTTCCTTCTATTTGTACTACACAAGTATAAGTATGATGATGCAATCACATAAACTCGAGGTTTACTGAAACAAATATTAGTTGGCATGACGGGTAGGCCTTCCCGGTTCAATTATGATGCGCAAGTGATTGATAATTCACATTGACATATATTAAAGAAATAGAAGATTCTTCAAGAATTCTCTTGTGCTGCTTATTCTCATGATATACCAGCTAAGGTAGGGACTGAATCCCTTGATTTCTGGAACGAATAAAAGGTGATATATATATGGGCCCAGTCACCTGCCATGTGGACTATTTATTATTATATGATTTTAATAGATGCATCTATTGTATAGTCACATATGCGTTTGTTATCAACTTGTAGTTTGGCTTTTGCAAGGTTGCTTGCTCAAATTATTAGAGCACAATTCCAGAACGTAAATTATGATGATTTATCTTGATAATACTGGTTTAAATCCAAGTTGGTTTAGCAGAAATTATATGCCTCCAACTATAGCTAACCAATTGGTTATGAGAACAAAACTCCCCAAAAAATTAATTTGGTATGAGATGTATTATTTAATATATAGCAGCACTTGTACGCATCTAGCCAACAAATTATTGATAAATTCTCCCTATCACAATTGGTTCAGGGTCAGGAACCAAATAAACTTCATCTAGAAATATGAATGTGCTATATGATTTAATTGCTCCACCATAACACATCAAGATGAGTCCCTAAAGAATGATGGGGATATGTTTTGGGGATCCAACATTAGGGGGAGAAAATGGGCAGCTGAAAAAATACTACATGAAATGAATTATTATGAGTACATCTAGATCCTCACACAAGAAAATATGAACTTGAAGTTCAAGTGATAATACATTTGAAAAATATTGCTAGGCACATTTGTTGACCTAAAGTTAAATATCATATTTCAGCTGCTAGTGCTCCAAAAAAAAAAAACAGAGGATAAAGTTCATAAAGGATAGAGTCTATGGCACACATGAAGCATAATTGACTAATTGGTTTCAAAAATAGAACTCCTTGAAGAAGGAGAGGAGCAAATGATCAAGATTGTCATAATAAGGAGGCAAGTGCTCTATAAGAGCACCGCGACATAACACTTTATAAGACCTCATAAAAGAGGCTCAGGTACCTGAAAATAATAAGATCTCGATAAGTTATGTCTTTATTGAGTGATGATGAAACCGATATAAAATGATCATCGATGATATTATTGATATAATGTAGCGCTCAATATTATTAATATTGACGAGGATCTTGAGCTCAAATCTGTCATTGAATGTGGACAAATAAATGATTGGCCAAAATAAAAACTATGCAATCAAGATTGACTTCACCTGAAAAAACTGTGAAATTGGATGCAATTACATTCAGGTATCTTATCAGTCTAGCAATTCATGAAAAACTTGATATGCATCTTATGGACGTTGTCACGGCCGATATATATGGCTCACTGGACAACGAAATTTTTATGAAAATCCCTGAAGGATTCAAAGTACCTGAAACATACAAAGATTCCAGGGAAGCTTGTTCGATAAAGCTTCGGAAATCCTTTAATGGATTGAAGCAATCAGGGCGCATGTGGTATAATCTCCTCAACGAATACCTATTAAAACAAGGGTACAAGAATGACACAATTTGTCCTTGTGTCTTTTGTAGAAAGACCTGGATCTGAATTTGTCATAATAGCTGTGTATGTTGATGACTTGAATATAATTGGAACTCCTGAAGAGCTTCCAAAGGCAGTAGAATGCTTGAAGAAAGAATTTGAAATGAAAAATCTTGGAAAGACAAAATTTTGTCTTGTCTTACAAATTGAGCATTTGAAAATGCAATATTTGTCCATCAATCAACGTACACCGAAAATATTTTGAAGCGCTTTTATATGGATAAAGCACATCCATAGAGTACCCCGATGGTTGTGAGATCGCTTGATATAAATAAAGATCCATTTCGTCCTCATGAAACTAATGAAGAACTTCTAGGTACTGAAATACCATATCTTAGTGGAATTGGGGCATTAATGTACCTTGCTAATAATTCTAGACCAGATATAGCTTTTTCTGTAAGCTTGTTAGCAAGATTTAATTCTTTCCCAACACAAAGACACTGGAATGGTATTAAGCATCTATTATATCTGCGAGGGACCATTGATACGGGATTATTTTATTCAAAGGAATCTAGGTCACAACTGATAGGTTAAGCAGATGCAGGATATTTGTCTGACCCACATAAAGGTCAATCTCAAACAGGCTATTTATTTACATGTGGAGGTATTGCCATATCATGGCGTTCAACAAAACAAACTA